AGAGAGATAACCTAGAATTATCGGGGTGGGCCCTAAATGTAACCACAAAAGTCCTGCTAAGAGGAAGGCAAAAAGGTCAAGGAGAAAGGAGATAATGCAACAGCGGAAGCAGAGATGCCATTGCTGTGCCAAGAAGTAGGAAAGCCAAACGTTGGAAAGAAGCAAGTAACAGATTCCCCCTGGAGCCTCCAGAAGGACGAATCTTGCTTGCTGACACTCTGATTTTAGCCCTTCATACTCCTTCTGGACTCTGAGCCACCAGAACTTTAAGAGAATAAGTTTGCAGGTTTTAAGCCATTATATGTGTGATAATTTGTTACAGCAGCAAAATGAAACTAATATAACTTATAGCTCCTACCTAGCTTTCTTGAACATCTCTGGGAGCCGAGGCTGATATTCTCAGTGTTACAGCCATGCTGAGGCTGTCACACTAGTGAGGCTGCAAACAGCTCCAGCGGTGCCCGCCCAGCCTTGAGCAAGTGAACAAACCCTTGTTGGACCCCTTGTTCTTCCTCCTGCTGGGCCTGTATTTTCCTCATCCCTCTTTTACTATGTCAACTAAGGCAATGAAGTATATTTATCTGTGCATCTGAGTTTGGGATATGAAATGTCCCAAATGTCCCTCTGTGATCATTCCCAATCCATTCCAGAGGCAACAGATTAACAGAACTGCTTCTTTCTCACATAATCATGAGCACTAGGGCAACTGCTACTAAAGCCTCAAAATCCCTACTGGCTAAGGACTGCATGACAAATCTTACTTTTAAGTATTCTACATATTCAACATTATACCAGCTTTTTATCTTCCTGCCTTTCATTTTGTCAAAAGCCATGCAAGCTATATGGAAAGCTCTCAAAACAAACCTTAATAATTCTATCTTAAATGAATCACAAAAAGTTGGAAGCTGTAAGATTAAAGTTTAAAATCATATGATTATATGATTAGCCAGGCATAGTGGTACATGACTGTAACCCAAGCTACTCAGGAGGCTGAGGCAGGAGGATCACAGTTTGAGGACAGCCTGGGGAACTATCAAGACCCTGTCTAAAATATATATATATATATATA